AGATTAAGGAGATGCACTCAAAACTGGGACAGCAGCGTAAGTGGTACAGCCTTGTGGAGATGAAAATGCGAAATGCAGAGAGAGCAAAGGAAGATGCAGAGAGAAGAAATGAAATGCTTCAGAAAGAAATGGAAGAATTTTTTGACACCTTTGGGGAAATTAACAAATGGAAATAAAAGGGAGCAAGTTGTTCAGTTTTTAAATTGAGCTTGACCCTAGGAGAAGGGGGGGAAAAAAAGCCATATTCTGGTTACAACGTCTACTGCCATTTCAGGGGTGAAATGACAATCCCAATAGTAGAAACTAAGTTGTCAATTACCCACTGAGCAAGCAGTTGATACAAACTTGTTGGGATGCCTGAACTCTAGAAACTCTCTGCACCACCCTGCTAATGCCAGGGATGTTTTGTCTTATCACTGGAAAAATGTTTCAGTCATACTTGCATGATCAATTCCCAAGCCAGCCCATAGTGCCTTGGGGAAGCACCCTGGTATTTTTCAGCTAGCTCCGAGTCCTGTACTGATGCACTAAATACCAAAGTGGCTCAATATTTTTTAATCAAGGGATGTCATGCTTGTTGGACTGTGTTTTTATCAGACACCCTAGAAGTCACACAGGTATAAAGTTTAAGGAACACTGAGTTTACATTTGCATCCAAAAAATTCAAGTCAGTTGTTCAGTCAGAGGCAAATATAAAGAAATAATATATTTATACCTACTTATAAGTTAACAGCACTACCCTCACATGGTCCTGTGGTTGCGATCTAAAGCTTCAGTGTAATTCCTGTCCGCTCATTGACAGGATATTCATTTACAGAGGCGGCTCCTTAAAAAGCCCTTTCTCCTCTGGATTATAATTAGCCTCCCATCAAGACTCCCAGATGAGGACGTTAGTCATTACAACTGTCACTGGTAGACTCCCCCACACCCATCTCTCAAGCAGAGCTCTCTACACAGAAAGTGTTTAAACTATTTTGATAGCTGGGTTAGTGACCTGTAAACAGTTAAGCATCAAGAAAATAACTGCTCTTTTACCCACTGCAAAAGAACCGTTTCCTTAAGTCTGAATGTCATCATTCATGGTAAGCTTCTGCATATTTAAAACTGTTGTTCATACAAGCATATGAACTGAATTTACAGTTGCACTGTATGAGAAAAACATGGTTTATTATTAGATCTTCAGAAAGATTAAATGTAACAGTAGCCATCCATTTGCTTACCGAATGTCTCACTGAGAAAGCTTATGAGGTATAAGCTGAAGCTGCAGACATTTTGTCTTCCTCCTCAGAAAGGAGAGGACAAGCAGATTCGGAGCAGATATGAGTAAACCCGAAAATACCATCTTACCCCACAAGATTCATGGAATGAAGCAGCTCTGTCCCATTCACTGCCCAAAGGTCGTCATGGCAGTCCTGTAGACCATTGTTTGCCAGCACATACCACCTAATCAGTTCTGTATGTTCTCTAGTCTCCAAAAGAGCATCGCTGAACCATAACTTGTCTCTTTTGCCTTCTTACCTTCACATGGAGCAGTTTTTGAATTTGAACTCCATGGACTTACTCAAGGTCTTTTCCTCATTTCTTTTTCCCACTCTTCCCTTTGCTTTGCCTCTTTTGGGACCTCATTACTATGAAAAAACACTCTGCTTCTCCCGAAGTTTCACTTCCCTCAAAAAAAATTTGGATCTTTGTCTCAACTCTTTCTCTTCTTACCTTTCTAAACCTGCCCCGCCAACATCAAGAGCTTGCAGTAAATATAAAGATAACCTGTACCATAAAACAACAAATGCACTTTGATATGCTTTGTAAAGCCCTTTGTTGCATACACACAGGAGGGCTGCTTTATTTTCTTTGTTCTCTTCTGTTTAATGAACTGGGTCTTTCTCCGTACCTTCAGAAGCAATCTGAGAAGTACCTATCAACAAATATTAGGAAGCTTTAGGATCTACTGTTCATCTCTGCTTCATCCAGATACTCCGTTGCAACGCTCTGTAGAGGAGATAAAACTACAAGTCCTCCATGCAAGAAATAGCAATATTCCTGTAGAAAGGCATTTCAGTCTATCATAAGCGAAGCTTCTACAATGCTAAAGTCTATCTAAAGAAACCTACCCCTAGCCATGGTCGACCTTTCATTTTGTATCAGAAAACCCTTATGAAAGACAATTAGATCAAAGTAGCAGTTAAGTTTTACTTCAACTAGCCCCATATGAGTTACATAAAAGAGCTTTGCAAAAGAAACTGAGGGAAAAAAAAAAACAACAAACTTACTACGTCTTCGCAAGAAAATTTACTTCCTCCTCCAAAAAGGACAGTGAGGCAGTTTTTTTTTTTCAAGCTAGCCATACATCTTTCTTGTTCAGTGAGAACAAGCTTCATCATTTGAGCTAAAGGTGAAAAGAACGCTCTTCAAAAGTTCTTTTAAATAAGATGCTGACTATAAATATACACATAAACCTTGCAAGGAAGTCTGAAAAATCTAAATATGACCCTCTTAAAGAACGTGCACGTGAATACAGATCTGTCAGCATTACCTGGCAAATTTCTACAATTTAATAAACAAATTTCAAAATATGATTGTTACATGGCAGTAAAACCAAGTGCTGTTAACGTGTCCAAGTTTTCCAGTTGATTGGGAGAAAGGAGCTTCAACCAATCCCTTAAAACTTATTAATTTATTTTTTATACTAACACTTGCTTTTTGGTTAACTGAGAACTAAGGCAGTAACAAGCTTTATGTTTTAAGATAACAAAAACATGCACCCTTTTAATTAGGCATAACATTCTACTTCAACACAAGAATATCAAGAAATACAAAGCTTATTGCTATAGTAAATGAAACAGACCGCCCACATTGTTCAAGTATACATATTTATTTGTCATTTTACAGTGGCTTTAGTACTGCTGTTTTATGACAAGATTTTTGGAGAAAAAAACAAAAAGGTTCAGAATGAGGCTATAACTAGCACTTCAGAATTAGTTATTGACAGCTTCCCTTATGAAATTTCTACTTTCCATTTAAAAAAAAAAAACAGACCAAAAACAAGAAAGTATGACTGCTGTCCATTAAAAAAAAAAAAAAAACTTTCTAGTCATCCTGAAAAACAAAGTCCAGCATCAGACAAAACAGCCACTGCACTGGAGGGAACATGTTCCCATTGCACAAGCATCAAGAATGAGCTATGACAATCATAAAGCCTAATTTCATAGGCAGAAGAGGCCACATGTATCTATATAGTTAGACTTCAAAGCACATCTTTCTTCTGAAATCATATACCATACTGCAAGTGAAATTAAGGCCATAAACTCAACACTATAACAAGTGATAGGGCTTGATGCTACTTTTTGTGACATTTGGTAAACCAAATGCAGAAAAGAGGGAGGCCAAAACAAGATATACAAAGAGTTTTGAAGGGGGTGAACACTTGACGGCCTTGCAAAATAAACTCTTAAAGAACAGATACTTTCGGGGGGGGTTATTTAAGGGATTAGGTAGAACTGGATCTCACAACAAATGACTCCAGTGACTACTGTAATCTTTTATAGCATGTGTTCTAGAATACACTACAGAACATATTCCCTGGCATTAACATTTATATTTGTATGAAAAGTTATTTCTGTTATTCCCTCTCGAAAAGAGCTGAAATATGCATAATTTGTGTAAGTTATTTTAACGATCAGATAGGCTTCACTGTACTGAGTTAACTACATACAGGTAACTATGTGATTTACTTTTATTTAGGTATCTTGATTACATTAAATTGCTAAAACATCTGTGGAACCCAACATGTCATGCATTTTAAGGAAAGGGAAAGTAGTCATGTATTGCTATCTTTTCTAATTTGTGTTCATTTTATTAGTGCACAAAACACCCGAAAGCAGTAGTTCCAAAGAAGCAGTAACTGCCGTGGAAGGTGAAACACTGTACTTTAGAAAAATCTGGGAATTTTTATCTGATGAGGCTGAAGATGCACATTAGTCATTTTATAAAGTTTGGTTTGCCACCATTTAAGAAAATATAGATATCAAAAAACAGACAAATACACTGCTAACCATCTGATAAGTTTTCTTTTAAAAAAATTAGCACCCATTTATGCATCTGATTCCATAGAAAAGCTAGTGACAGTTTTGGTTTTTCAAAAAAAACCCAGTTTTTCCCCATTAGAAGACAATACAACAACATATGCTCATGGGTATTAATAAGCTTTCTTATCAGTAAAGAACAAATGACTACTGTTTCAGGTAGTGAATATAAAATGCAGTTCTTACATGATTACTTTCTCCCCTGCTTTTGTTATCCTAAAAGACTATGAGGCGCTGAATTAAGGACCCATTCTGGGAAACAAACACACACGTACTTAAGCGAGGAGACCATAGGAAGTATCAGGGTTTCAGTCTAGTATTTTGGAGCAGGGACTGTGTCTTCCTACGGCATTCATGTAGCATCTATTACAGTAGAGTCCCAATCGAATGCAGATGTTCTGGCCTTAGCATAACATATACACCAAGCTTATGAGGCACAGGCAAGAGTTATTAAAAGATTTTGTTTAAGAAAAAAAACCAAATGCTCACAGCTGATCTTACTATTAGGGCAAAGAAACTTTGTTATATCTTTACATAATAGACAGCTAGGTAGTCACATCGCTGCTCAAATCATCCCACAGCATTTGAATAGAGATGTTTCTCAAATGACCTTTTACTGTGTATTGAATTTAATTGCAAATCTCTGAAAAGAGGTTTATATTTGAAGTAACGTGCTGACCAAATCTATCAGAACTGCAAAGAGCACAACCAAAATTTAAACAAATTAGATGATTTTAATGTCATTCCATTCAACCATATGGTAGTTGCATTTAGAAGAATCCTAAAGTGCTTCAAACCCATCAATTAAAGTTGATTTCTGTTGTGCAAAACTGCAAGCACCTTCTAAAAAAATAAGCAGCAGCATTAAGGAATAAAAACTTAAATAGCTAAATGTATTTTCTCTTTTTTGTTTTGAAATCTTAGATCAAAATAATTTGCCATATTTTCAGTAACAAATCTCAGAAGAGTGCATTTTATTATTTTAATTTTATACTTGACTTGTTATACATTTAACTGTTTGAAATAGCGGACCCAAGTATATTTATATGCACAAAGCAAGACTGTGGGATTGAAATTCAACAACTGAAGTTTTAGCTACAAAAATAGTCTTTTTATAGAACACCAATGGAAACAATGGTTGTCTCTCCACTTTTCTCCAACAGTAATATGAGAAAAGGTGGTTTACTTAAAACATTCTTTTAGCTCCAGACACCTTTAGCATGCAGAGTGGACAAAAATAAAACTGATTTAATAAGCTGTGTAATAAGCTTTAGAGCATTACTATTACTCATGTAATAGACAATCTAAAATATACGTAAAATAATCAGCCAGAGTATTTTTTTTTTCCTGTCAAACTTCAACAAGTTAAAAAAAATTCAAAGACACTGTGGAAAAGCAAAGAAGTTAGAGTCAGGGATTCATCTTTGGGAACTTCAGTCCAAATTCTGCATCTGGGTACAGGTGTCCCTAGATCAAAACCAGTTTTGAGCAGGAATTACAGCAATACGCATCCCAGAAAAGAATTTGGTTCCCAGTATATAGTATCACGAACTTTTAGCATCAAGCCCTGATAGAATCCATATGACATACGTAGAATATACAGACAGAGGCTGTTCAGCTTCCCCCCCCAACACACTGAAAGTACTTCCATTTCAAGTGTCACAGTTCAAAGGAAACACTCCACATAAACTGTATTGCTGCAGGACTGAACCTGTATTGCAAAAGAGCGTTATGTTCAGTAAAGATTTGTCTGCACTTGTAGATCTGAACTTCCAGCGCGCACCAAACCAAAGGAGCGCACTTCTGCCAAAAAAGGGGCCACTACATACTGAGACTCTGAGAACAGAATGAAGCTGTTTTGAATGTTTAAACCTACTTCATTCATAAAATTATAATTTTAAGCCAAATACAAATCAGATCCAGAAAGGAAACTGATTTAGCATTATCATTTAGCATTTAAGGCCCTTCCTTTAGGAAAGGAAAATTAAATATATGGAATCACTTTTTAAACTTAATTTTGCATAAACACATGTATACTCTGTTAGGACTTAAAAAGACAAAAAACCCCAAAGCACTCTGGTCCCTAACAGTTTTTGAAACTTACCAACCAACTAGTTAATAAGAGTTAAACTCAAACTTTACTAGAAATTATTTTGATAAGGAAATGTAAACCCTTATCAGAAACATAATACAAAGAATTTCAAAGGCTGTTTGCTTTAGTTTCCAGTCATTAGACTAGTTTATTTTACCTGATCCGTGCAGACAAAGCCTTATTTTGACATGTTTCTTATGTTTCATCATTTTTAATAAAAAGCAAACCTTTCAAATCACAGTATTTCCTCAAAGCACACTTACAGGCTGAGTATCCAGATTAAAAAATGGCTGGCTTTTCTAAGTTTTGTTTTTTGAGGAAAAGTGGTATGAGCACAGATGAAATAACTTTTTTAAAATCATACTCCATTTCTGCAATGCCATTCAGCTACTCAGTGTTCATATTTAATAGAATATCTCTGGTAAATAATCTGGTTAATAGCCTCAGATCCCTCTTTTTTCAGGTGAGCAGTTAAGAATACAGATTGCATCTATGTTGACCACCACTTATTTTTAATCATATATTTCATAAATCATTTATGTATACTGCAGTAGTGTTAACACTATACAGTCTCTCATACAGAAAAGTAACATTGTTTACAGAACTAAGCATTTTTATATATATATGTATATACACATACACACACTCACATAATCTTTAAATACATATAAATATTTATAAATGACAAAGTGCAAAAAATGGTCAATTGCATTACTTTACATACATGATTTTAACATTAGGAATAAAAGTGATTCTATTGCACACCAAACTCTCTAAACTTTTAAACCCTTGTCAAATCACACGTGCACTTTGTTTTCCAGCAGTGATGAGGTTCTTACCGCATTGAAGACCATTTCACAAAATGGGGCACTGAACTTAATCTGCAGTCAGGAATACAACTAAATGTATAAAATCTGCATGCAGTGCATTTATAGTCTATATGTGCACGCTGAAATAGCATGGAAACTTTAGCACGCGTCTATTCGGCATGCATTTTTCTGAATACAATCTGCATATCTGTCATCTTGAGAACTGGACATTTGTTCAGTTACTAGCAATTTTTAAAAAGTTATACTGGAATCAAAACCACAGTATTCACAGTCTTTTCATTTCATGCATGTTTCCAAGACAGTAGCAGTTTTGTAAAAATCTGAAGCATCAACGAATGCCATAGCAAGAAGCCTTTAAAAAAAAAAAAAAAAAAGAGGCTGCTTTTCCTACAATAAGATTTACAAGGAAGCTCAGTCAATCTCATAGCGGTTTTTACTCCAAGAAAAAGTTATATAAGAGAAGATCAGATATCAGTTGCAACCATGGGGATAGATCGGTTATGTATGGAAAAACATTAAAGACAAATTTGAATCATAGAATAATTTAGGTAGGAAAAGACCTGGAGATCATCTGGTCCAACTCCCATGTTCTACACAGCTCAAATCCAATATGACAAATTTAACTCTGTACATCCAAAACATGTAGAGGGAAAAAAATAATGAAAACTAACCAACCCCCTCCACCCCCACACACACTTGGTGGTATTAAATCTTCTAAAGCAACAACTGTTTAAAAAAAAAAAAAAGTAGCACAGCATATTTAACTTGAAAGACCTACCAAAAAAAAAAAAAAATCAATCTTGAAAAGTGAAATGCAGTACATTACTTCCATGGCAAATCAAGATTATCAAAATGGTCAGCCACAACTTCTACAAACAGTGGTACAATACAACTAGCAGAAAGTTATTAATGGTCTAGTCACTTAGCATGCCAGTAAAGCAGTTGCATTTGTTTTGCAGTTGTTGTAGCAGTAGATTTAATCAATTGCTAAAAGCTTTAGTCCCTCATGTTTAGAAAAAGAGCTTTCACAGAAGTACGGGATGAAGTGTTGTAAAATATGGTATTCTACTATTCTGCAACAAGATTCTTCATCAAAAACAAAATAAAATGGTCTTTTAAAAAGCTAGGCAGTAATTTCAGATCAGCAAACTTTATAGGATGCTTTTTTTTTTTTTTTTTTTTGAAGAGAATGCTGAGCACCCACTGTCAGAAAAGTCACCTCCTTATAAAGTACTATGTGTTTAGCACCAGTGTCACCGATATCTAACAAACAGCTTTACCTCAAAAGATAATTATGCTTTGCTGATTGTCCATATTACTATATTCAAAAGTTTTCTCTTTATTTTCATTCTATAGTGGCTGCAGCTTTTGCTAGCCTGTAAAGGACTGAAATAAATCACAGCCAATCTGAAATTGCTAATGTTCATTTTTAATAGGTGTCTAACTCACACAAATAACAAGGATTTAAAAAAAAAATCAGCGACTTGTATTGCTTTAAGATAATAGGTATTAAGTGTTTGTTCCAGTGACAAAACGCACTAAAATCATTTCACGTATACCATCAGTATCTAAAGATAAACTAAGGCATCTGTAGGATTAAAACCAAACAACAATAAAAATCTCCAAACTCCTGCACTTCAGCTAAATAGAGTTACAAAAATCCAAGATGCCAGATGACCATTCCCACATTAACATCATATTACTTTATTAAGTTTTTGCCTTCTGGGATATTAAATTCTAAAACTGAATATATTTGCTACTGCAAATTGAGCTATTTTAAAAAGATATGGGTACAATCTTAATAGAAAAAGCAATGTTTGCTTTCAGAGAGATTACTGCTGTTCAAATCTTAACAACAGAAATGACAGGCAAATTCTCTTTTCTTTTACAAGAGCGTACTAGACCTCTCAGTAATGCAGTGGCTTGCTAGGCAAGTATATTTTACAAGTTCTCTTTAAATACTCAAGTCAACAGTACCTAGATCAACAGCTAAATACAGTGCCTTTAAGAAAGTGGTGTTTTACCTCATCTTGGAGACCTCTTCATTGCTATTATAGTAATATAGTTTAATCTCATACACGTGCACACACACACAACATCTTTTAGCAAAATATTTCACACATCTGTGTGCTCTAAAGTGAACATGCACAAGTACACAGATGTATAGTATTTGGTAATATTAGCCCTACACTACTGCAAACACATTTTCTAAGAGTTCAAACTATTGTGCAACGTAAGAGGCAATGTTTGTATTATCTGATCCTGAAGAGTGCATTGATAAGCCTGTATTGAAACAGCAAATAGTCTCCTCCTGTCCTCTGACGTTGTCTTTAGAAAAGGTATTTATGTATGTTTTCCTCCCCAGTACAAACAGAGAAGTTTCCCTAATTTGGGAATACTCTTTAGCTATATTAAATAAATGGTCTTGCTGGACAAACTTAGCTGACAAATTCTTCAAAACTACTATCATATTGTTTCTTAAATTCACTATATAGAATGGACCCATTAAAAATTGGAAAAAAAATTATGCAGCTCCTTTTCAGGTCACTTAGGCTGCAAGTCTCTCCAATTCGTCTGTCCTTTCAATCAGTTTGCATGAACGATGAAATGAAGAGCATGACAGGTTTTATTTCCCTTTTTGTTTGTTTTTGTTAAAGGACCAGTATCACAAGCCAGAAAGGTACAGAACAACTTAGCACTCTCCCCTCTTCTGAACAGGCACTGCTTCACAGATAAGTCACTCAACAAAAATCCTTCCTTAAGATTGAGTTAAGCCACTGTATCTCTCTTTCATGTTTTAAGAGCTGAAAGGAGTCAGAGACACATACTCATATTCATAGGTAAAATAGGAAGCGATGGCTATGTTCTTTAAAGGTCATGTTTCTCTCTTCTACAAGAAGATAGACAGAATCATTGGGAAGTGAAGATAGAAAGGGCTCAATTTTAAAAAAAAAAAAAAAGTGCTGTGTGGAAGAGTAACTGCCTTTTAAATACAGTACTGAGAGCGCTCAATATGAGAGTTAACACTCACATGTAACACTCCAGTAGTTAAATAAAGCAAACTGCTGCAGTCACACATTTAAACAAACTTCACAGAGACTATACATTCAAGAAAACCTACTGATAAACAACACTGTACTAAAATGTAAACAACCATTTGCATCATAGAAGCCTACCAGTTGGGACTGAAAAGTCATAAATCCACTCAAGAGGAGTTATTGGCTATAAGTCTATTATAACTGCTCACCTGAAAGAGGCTGGAACAAAGAAAAGCCTATAATAGTATCTAAATTCAGATTTTTTTGTTCTTTAGACATTGATTTGCTTTCATTCTACAACACTAAGCAGGCAGTTTTATAACAACTGAGTAAAAAGTACAGGCATTACTTTAGCAGAACATGCAGAACATGGAGTTTTTCTACTTGGTTCCATTAACTTACAAGCAATTCAGGCCCAATGGAAGCAAGAGTTCTTTTCCAAAGTTAAGTCTGCAATCCTGGCTGATCATCGGCATCCTTCAAGGGGTCCTGTCAAGGCATCGAGGCTGCTGTCTGTATCTGAAGCCAATGTTTGCTCTGTTGACATGGATGAAATGTCATTGATAGATGATGACTGGGAAGGGCTGGTGTTGCTATTCACTGCTGCATCTGTGCTAAGTAAACCAAACATAATAAAATCTGAGGCAAGACAATATTGCAAGTAAAAATAACCATGCTTCACGACTCTGAGCATCATTTTCCCCACAGAAGTCCTTGTGAAAATAAATTACTAATATTAAAAAAAGCAAGCACCAAGTCCTCTAGGACTTAAAATGTGATGTGGATATTAAAAGATTCCTATTTCTCTCCCCACAGAGGGGAAAAAAATATATACACACATACACGTGCATATATGTATATGTGTGTGTGTGTGTGTGTGTGTATTCACGAATATATATATACACATATGTAAAAATATTTATATATAAATCTATATATAAAGTTGTCTTACCTGGTGTACAGTAACCTGAATATCAAGAGATCTAATAGGTCTAGCTCACAGGAGATCATACAATATTCTAACTACTGAACCAAGATAACAGCAAACATCAAGAATTCAGTAAAGGATAAATACTTTGCACTATTAACTGTTTTTAAAATAAGGAGCCCAATAAATGCTAAACCCTACATGAAAGGGACACATTCATGCAGAGCCCCACAATAAGCATTCAGCATAAAAGATATTTATGCAATAGTTGATGCCACACATCTCATCTGATGATTGAGCCCTTTGGGGAGAAGGCAGTGAATATACAATGCAGTGCATCAAACACGCAAGACTCCAAGAAGGTCTCGTACAATTTACTTCCTAACAACATAAAACTACTTCACATGGATTTCCAAAGGCAGATCAGAATTGGCAGCCTTGAACAACAAAACTTTTGCCTACCTGGATTAACAGGGAATTCTTCATTTCAGTAACGCAACCGATCAACCCTATATCTCATAGTTATAGAAGTTAACTGTTGAAACAATGACTAACCTGAGGGCTGATCTTTTACCACACCATTCTTGCTTCTTTCTTCCCAATCCATTACTTCTTTGTATATTAATTCTTAAGAGAAGGAGGAATGAGAGAAGAGACAGAAAGAGCACTGTAAAACCACAGACAATTTGTAAAGAGTTTACAAGCGTATAAAGATACAATAAAATGGTTACGTGTCAGTCTGTAACTTGTATAGGTATTTATTTTCCTTTTTACAACAGCCCTAATGCAATGATTAGAGGATTCTGCAGATATTCTTTATGCATCACGGAAAGATACTCTGCTTTACAAAAATCAACATTTTATAAACAGAATAGCCAATCATTTAAAAATAACAAAAGGAACCTGAAAAACTTTATACATGCCTGAGATACACTGAAATTAACTGCAAAAAAGAAAAACAAAGATTTAGATTTAAAACAGAAAAAGGTACTAGCAACCTCTAGTGGAAACTTTAATTTCTCTGATAACAAGAAAAGAATATCAATAAGTGTCTTTATTCTGAAGGGAAAATCTCCATGGAGACTTTCAGGAAAGTCTTGAAATTTTGAAGAGGATTAAACTATCAATTAAAATATTGCATGAACACTCTCATTCACAATCAAGAGTAGCCCTAGGATACAGGCACATGAACAAAATACCAGAACAGAGCTTTAAAGTTACAGGAGCATCCATTACTGTTTCATTTGTCTGTAGTACAGTAGATGCAAGGCGGCTTACCTCACATGTATAGAGCAAAAAAATTACTACTACTACTAGAGTATCATGTGCACTTTTAGCTATACCTCCAGTTAACTCACAGTAGCTTACATTAAGACTATGGTGTATATATACAATTTAGAGTAACAAACTTCTGTAATATTACATAGATTAAGACTCATTGAATTCTGAGTAAAAATATTCACAAATGGATTCAATTAGATTTAACTGATCATTTTACACTTTGACTTACTCCAATATAATTTCAAGTGTACCTGCACAGACACGCCCTATAGAAAATATTTGTAAACCAGAATTAGCACCTCAAATTTATAAAGTTATTTTTACAAAAAGAAGTGACTTTCCAAGTATGTGGAGACGTCTATCACCCCTGTACCTGTAAAAGTGTATGTTTAAAATCTGAACTGCCTCACCATTAAATGTTTTTGACTAAACTGTAAAGTGTAATTGATAGCAATATCATAATGCTGTTTATTCTTTTGTTTAAATCAACAATTTCTGCCTATTCAGCTAATAAAGAATGTAAGCAAAAGAGGCTAAAAAACCCAAACCAAGCTTTTGCCCTTTAAGGCTTCTAGAACAAATGCAACAGTAGATACTGTCAAGAGACGTGGCCTTAATAATACATAGTGAAAGAGAGGCACGTGTTTCTGCTTCAGATTTTTCTACCAATAAAAAAAAATGCCATACGATTACAAACACTTGAGAGAGAACAAAATATTCAAAGGAAGGGAAGGGAAAAAGATCCGAGAAATGAAAAATTCTGACTTTTTTAAAAATATACTTCAGGGGTGCATGGGGGTGGGTGGGTGTGCGCACGTGCATGTGTGTGTGTGTGTGTTTTAACTGTATTTACTCCAGATGGTATATTTTTCCATTACTAATTTCTTTTCCTCTTGCCACAAGCAGTACTGTATAATTTGAATAGTGGGTTCCAGTCAATGTCAATATTGTCAATGACACTAAATGTCATTGGTCATGCTCACTTCTTACCTTTCCATTCCTCAATTGCATGCTCCCTTTCTTCCAATTGTGCATCATAGATTTGAGGTGGAGGCTACAAAGAAAACAAAGTCTATAGTGAACTTACTATGTCAAGTTAACACAATCAGTCATAACATGAAAAAAGAAAAATGACATTTTTCTCAGCATTTTGCTACTTTCATCTTTGGCAGTCTATTCCTCAAAAGATTATAGCTAATTCCCTAAAATTACAGCTCCAGAACTTGTTAAGTTCTGCCTCCACTGAAAGGCTGTTTAAAAGCATCAACTAAAAATTAAAAGTCATTGTAAAGCTTGATGTGATCGCAGAGAAAGTTCACTTTTCAAAAAGAAGTGGATTATCATCATAGACAACTCTTCCCCTAAAGGGAACTACCACCAACTGCTTTCAAAACTGTATGAATTCCACCTTACTGGCTGTTTTTCAGGTGGTTCTGCCCCTGAACTTTTGCTGATGGGGCAGGATGGCAGGAAGCACCCATCCACACTGACACCTTAAAATTTATTTTTAATAAATGCAAACTTACAGCTTCTGCTTCAGCTGGATCATACCAGACAGTGATATAAGGATGACGTAAGGCTTCATCTACAGAAATTCTCTTGTCTGGATCTACTACAAGCATTTTTGATAACAAATCTCTAGCTTGACTGGCTAGAAAAAAAAAAATCACATGAGAAGAGCTGCAGAGGTTAAAGTCTGACACAGAAAATATATTAGGAATAGGCAACATAAAACATAATAGATTTATTAAGCAACTAAGCCTTTCAACAAGTTCCATTTGTTGATGACAGGGTTGACTTTTGATCCTATAACATTAAATAGGCCATTTAATTCCACTGCGTGGTATTAAAGTTCCACATCTTGCCATAAGCATTAGCTTACACCTTGTGAGGGCAGGCACAGAAACCAAATCTTTCCTATACCGCTATGTATATGTGTATACAAACAGAGGTAGGGAGTGTAGGCGTTTTATTTTAAAAATAAGGTCACCATCTTTTAATGTAAATTTTGTTTTAATATAGTACAAGACAGACCCCGCAACTGACCTCAATTAACCTCAATTTTTAACAGTTCTGCTGTACACATGGGTCACAGTTTATGTGAGCATGAAAGACTAAAAATTGTTAACAAGCTTTTGAAAGTACATTTTAGTACAGTAAAAACCTAATTATGTGAAATCAAATTATTCTTTCTTTACAAAGGGTGTGTCATATGGTTATCCATTTTTGTAGTGGCATTTTCGTGACATTTCTGTTATCTGAACAATCACTATATAATAGTCTTTAAACACAAACATACATATAAACTACATAAATATATTGTACTTATCTGTATATTAAACACATAAAATGGTAATATAAATATATAATACAATACAGATAGAAATAAAATGCAACTTTGTGTAAAATAATTTAACTATCTAGACAATAACGAGCCTTTTTTCCCCTTTAATGGAAATCAGCTAAAATCAAGGCATATACGAAATGAATTATATGCCCACATCAGCTAGAAAAAATTAATTGTAGATAACTTCCACAACAAGTATGACTATCAGAAAACACTTAAGTCACAGACTAACATATTAGTATTAAGCAGAATTTTAAGAACAGGGAAATATTTCTGCATTTAATTACTACTACTAAGACAATTCCAGGAGACATCTCAGGATATGTCATAAAGGAAACAAACAACAGATAACGCAACTTTTAGTGCTGACACTTATTGCAATAGACAGTGGTAATTTCAATTAAAAAGTATTAATTATGTGTACTGTAGGCATTTTAAAGGAACACCTTTAAAAAGAGAGAAACCCCTCTCCTTACTTTTTAACTTGTCACGATCAGATTCCGATGGAAATATCCAGTCTGGGAAGAGCTCTTCAAATTTAATACCAGGATATTTTGGCCTGTTTTCTACATAATTCCTCACTGTAGGCTGCAGTTTCTTCATAAAGTCTGCTGATGGCGTTCCTAACTGTTCAATAACTTTATTCCATTGATCAATATCTGCACCATATCTTTAGGAAAAAATCAGCTGAAGTATCTCAAGTCTGCACTACATAAAAATATCGCTTACAGATATCTGAAAAGCTAACAAACTCAAACAACGGACACAAATACAAACTTCATTCTAGAAGCAACAGCATTCTGAGCTGCCATGCAAAAACTTAGATTGATATCAAAGTGTAAAATTCAGGTTTTGTAATCCTAACGTAAGGATGGGCTAGAAGTGCTGCATAACGCGTTATTAAGATCTCTGTTGCTCATTAATATCTGTTGGTCAGTTCTGAGTACAGTACTTCAAAGATTCCTAATGAAGTCTTTATTTAGCAATTTTATCCACAACAAAAGAACCTCGTTTGATGGAGGCTACAAAGAGAAAATAAGAAGGGCTGCTTTTGAGTCTTCTGAAGTACACAGAGCACCACCACAAGGACTATTTCCAAAGGTAGGGAAAAATACATGAAAAAGCCCAAAGGATAGATACATAATCTTCAGAGTAAAGGATTCTTGTTGCATCTTTCCTAAGATAATTGGTTTGTTTTTTTTTCCAATTAGGAACTAATTGAGTGGTTATTTTAAACTTCAGAAAAGTTCAATAAATTATAAGCAATGCTGAATACAGAATCCAGATTTCTGTAGGTTTTTATTAAAAAAAGGAAAAAAGTGTTTCAATTGCAGTAATATGCAAAGACTATTTTGTTCTTAAATCCAGATTTCAAATATTTTATAGGAATTACACTTACAGACTACAAACTGAAATAGCGTTTCACGCGTCTTCTGGATTGTCCCTTCTCTCTGTCACCTATGAGCGTTTCCCCTTTACATACTGAAATGTGGTATGGGTACCAGACTTTGCTCTGAATGACTCTTGTCAGGTTAACAAAACTAAGAGAGAAGATATATTTTGCTAGTATTCCAGATATTTAAGTTTGCTCAGATTTACACTTTACAGTTTTTCTGATTAAAAGAATACGCACTTCCAGCTGAGTCTAACCATCCACTTTGCTAACGCTCACATCTAAATTCATAACCTAGCATTTTAATCCATCACACCTAACTTATTCATATAGACAGGTTCTGTAACAAAAAACACAAAACTTGCTGCACTATCAGTTAAGATGCATTTAAAATGTATTGATGATAGAAGGGTTTTATTTCAGTTAACGTGCCAAAAAAACAACTAAAACATATGCATATTCACGGCTTCATGCTAAACCTTTAGACTTTAATTCAAAGCTTAAAAATTATATTTGCTTATTTAATGCATTGCAATGAAAAAGGGATATTAAAATCACACTAGAAAGAAGTCAATAGTGTTAAACTCTCATGCTAAAAGAAGGCACATATAAACAAACTTTTTAACACGTACCAGGAAATTTTGTTCCTACTTGGAAAATTGATTTCTGTGAGATCTCCACCAATCTAGATTCAAAGAGAGTCTTTTTCTTTTGAATAACAGCAGTCTGGTTAGTCAGCTAATTAAAGTCCATTCTATTGTGGTCACAGCATTTTTTTTTTAAAGGAGCAGGAAAATTTAATAATTAAAAAAATCTCTCAGCTGCATGCCTTCAAAGCACACTACAAATACTGAAAATTGAAAAAAGTATTTTCCACAATATAAGGTTGGTCTTTAAATAAGTCATGCTCATTAGAAACCCAACCGGGAAAAAAACCACTTCAATGTCAATGTAAAACATGCAGAACATGCCCTGTGAATAACCTGGCAACCTGTGGACAAAACTACCCTTCTTGTTCCAGTAAGAGAATCCAAGAACAAAAGCAGTTCCAACAGTTTAGTCCATACCAGGTGTGCCTACCTAATTTTGGGGACTTTGGAAGGAGAAAGGGGAAGAACAGAGTCCTCATACAGTTACAACAAAGCATGTGTTTTTCCCCTAAGAAATTCCGAATGCATCCAAAATCCTCATGCTTTTGCATTCGTCAGGCAGGTTTTATTTCTCCTTCCTTCACTACATGGGCATCAAGGCCATTCAAAACGTTCTCTGGTGCTGCTAGATCGCCCGTTGTTTTGTCTTAATTATCTGCACTCTTTTTTTTTTTTTTTTCCCCCCCCTCTCTCTCAGTTTTTCAATTCTAGTGCAATAGCAACTGTCAGCAACTCGGACCATAACCTAAGAGTCTCGTTCATCCTCCACAGCACCAGTCAGGAGCAGGCTCCATCTATCCATCACTGAGACAACGCAGAGCATCTCAGCCCAACCAGAGCACTGCTGCAAACCTCTAAGAAATCCCTATCCCTTTTCGATACCAAAAA